TAAAGATGGAGGCTGCCTGTTTGTTGTATATATTAAGGCCTAAATTTTCCACTGAAGGCAAGACAGTGAAAATCAGGAGGGAGGTTTGAGCACACACTGATTGTTAACCACCCTTGCAGCACATCAGAGCTCTAAATGATGTGGGCTGCCAATGGCTGCAAAGGGGCATTCTAGGGATTGCAAGGATTCAAGGATAGGCACCATTCATGCAACATCCACAGAGAAGAAGATGAGGGAAGTTGTGATGCTGCACCACTGAAGAACATCTATCTCTGGAGACTTCCATGACTGGCTAAATTGCCTTTAGGGTTTGGAGACATGACAAGCTTTAGATACAAAAAGCTTCAAATATATAGCAAAATCTAGGCCTCTGTTGAGATTCACACCATTTATATGGGGTCTTAGATATAGTCAAAAAAGGGCCTCTGCATGGGAGAGATCTGTAGGAGATGAGGGAAGGTTCGAAGCATCAGAACAGCCACTGCTACTGCCTGACTGCAGTGGGGTCTGCATCTGCTGAACATCCCTTGCACTGCTCTAACCCAATATCTATAGTTAGGTATCTGTTGGTGACATTATATTGATTCTCACTACACCTCTTAAAATGTCCTGTGTGCATTAAGAAGTGAGTGCAGTATTTCACTTGAAGTTGTTTCAACATAGCCATAAAGGTGGGGATGGTAAGACTTGACTAATGTGCATTAAGGCAATACCTACTATTTTCAGTGTCAGAAGAGAAGAAAGAAAGTAAAGAGTAAAATTTGTCTCAGCGCAAGCGGCAGTGTAGGGAGGGGAAGGGGCAGGAATGAAGGGTATATATGAGTATATAATCAAACAAAGTCCATGATTACTTATGTTTATGTGGTCCTGTGGAAATGTGATCTGTCCTGTTGGATTTGTGCTTTATTTTTGGATAATGCTCTATCATACAGAGTCAGTACAGAGACAGAGTCATTATTGTTGCTGCACGTTATGGTGTTTTGGCACTTGGCCATTCTCTGCATACATGCCAAGATGCTTTTATAAAACCATTAAAAAAGCAGTACTAATTAGATATTTAGAGGAACAGAAATCCTGAAGGTTAAAATACCAGGGAAGCAGTTATGACCACAAGTGGCTGTTATATAAGTCAGTCCACGAAGGGTAACCTTCACTGAGCAAACACAATAAGCCTGACATTTCTTTTCTATTAAAATAACTTATAGTGATAAGGATATTTATATTTGTGTTGCTTACCTATGTTACCATTACTTGCTATCTTTATTGCATTCATGCTTAAAGACCTAAATCAGGATCATAATCCCACTGTACCTGGTGCTGCAGAAACACAAAGGAAATACAGTTCTTGCCTTGAATTGCTTACACCCATAACATTTCTCAATACCCATAATATTTAAAAGTGTAACAAGATGCAAAATGAGATGCACAACACAACAGAGCCAGAAGGTTGGCATGCTATGAAATTCTCTTAATTGAAGAGGGGGAAAGTTGCCTATATTTCAGTTTCCCCTGTCTGTAAACTTCTTCATGAGTACGGTGGAGACAGCTACAACTGGACAATAGAGAGGAACTAAGACACTGGGTTTTGAACCCACTTCAGACTGGGTGAATGCTACCGATTGTGCTTAAAGTTTGAGGCTAATCCCAGAGCAGAATCCAGGTTTATATCTGAATGTGTGGTGCCAATCCTTGGTGTCAGTGTTAGAGGGAGTCTTTCAAGTTCTGCCAATTCTCACAAGAGTGCAGCCATTGCAGGTGATAACTAGTTTAGAACTGCTTTTCACTCGGTTTTTTGGGTACACTTAAAATTAAACTAGAAAAAGACTTTTCTTTAAGGTTTGTATGTGCCAAACCAGCATGATAGGTTCAGATATAGGCTTTGAAAGCCATTCTCTCCCAAAATATGAAGGGTCTTAGATCTGAGGTTCTGCTCCTGACTATAGGATGCACATTACCAGTTTCAGATGTTTCTTATAGTTTGCTTCCGCCTGCCAGATCAAGGCTTTCTCTGCAAGTCATGTGGGCTACCTTTTATCCCAGTACTAATCATCCAGTGCCACAGGTGTTGGTCCAGTCAGTAACCCTATGAAATGGCAGCACGGGGGCTGGCTGATAGGGCGGTTGATGTTCTACTGGTGATTTGCTCAGGTCTTAATATCTCTTCACATTATTGAGTAGCTTCTACTCAGGCTTCTGGGAATGATGTGTGAGAGCACCATATCTTAGCAGAAATGGAAATGATAAACTGAGCCCTGGGCAGAACATCGTAGTTGTCTGTTAAATGTCTTTACATACTTTTATTTAAACACCCAGGTTAGTTTTCCAATGCCTCTTCCCTTTTTCCAAGGAATTCTGTATCCTGAAATTTGACTGAGAGACTTTCCAGAACATCAGTAAATGAGACCACAAGTGCTGACCAAAGTATGAAACACATCTAAATATCACAGAAATAGGGCAAAATTGTTGCCTGTGGTGAAATGATACAGCTCACTGAGGTTGTACTCAAGCAAGTCCATGCACACAGACAGCATATAAATATATTCAGATATCTATAAAATCCTTTGTCCGGCAATATAGCCTGTTAAAAGTGTGGAGGGAGAATAGTATGATTCTGTGACTCGAAGAAAAAAATGGAAAATGCAGTTTTAGTATTGTAACTAGAACAGAGTCTGACCCAGCAACTTTTTCCCATAATTGACTTACATTATCAGAGTTTTCCTGTGTGGACACCTCTCTATTTTTGGTTACAGGATTTTGTAATTCTCCTTCAGCCTGATAAATTGTGTTTGTCAGCTTCAGGGTATCTTGGTATAGATATATAATAAAAGGATATGTATCTACTTATAATCTCTATCTAAATCTATGTGTTCACTATGTATACATACACATAATATATGAATATATAGTATAAATATGGTGTGTACGTGCGCGCGCACACACACACACACACACAAATTAATACTTTGATGTCTTTAGCGTTTTCAACTAATTATACCTTCCAGTCTCATGTTAATTCCCATTTGAAACATTTGGCACTATTCCTCCTAATTCATTTATATTAATGAGGGGAGGATCCTCTAAGCAATAATCAGTTAAAAATCATGACTAGCTTTGTTAATAAATACCAGATTGGTGCATGATACAGTATTGGCTTGTCCTTAATTAGGAAGCACTGGAAGGGGCACCAAGAGGGAAATACTCATAAATTTTTCTTTTTAAGTCTAACTGCTCTCTTTCTCATATTGTATCTTTGAAATGGAGAGAAAAATTGTAACTTTGAAATTCCTTAATTTTCATATACTTAAGATAGCTTATGATTAATTAAGATATAGATTTAATACTGAGAGTGTTTTTTTTTTTTTTTTACTAACTCTGTTTGTTTGGAAAAAATCTGGAGAAACCATGTGCAATATTGCAAAGTAGCAGGTAATTTAAATGTTTAATTTAAATACTGGGAAAGTAGAAGCTGGTTAAATCTTATGAGATAGAGACTGGTTGGCTCAGGGAAGTAGTGATGAGCTAGTGCAGCTCTCATTTCTAGGTGACTGACTGGAATCATGTCCACATAAGAATGGAAAGTTATTCCCATCCATGTGCATTCAGTGGTGGCCTCAGTTCATTTCCCATGGGATGGATGACTTTAACACTCACAAACCTTTCTACACTTAGCCAGCTGAGCAGGGAACACAAAGAGTGGGTGGGCATGGACTGCAGAGCATGAATCATTTTTGTCTTATGTTGATACCAGACGTTAAGTGAGGACAGGTGAGCAACGTTTTCATGCTAGTGAAAAGCCTAAATGGCTTGGAGTGGTGGTCAGGTATAAAGGCACAGTGATTGCATTGAACTTTCAGTGCCCTTTGTTCTCAAAATCCTTTCAATCAGTAGCCTTGTGTGGAATATTGCCATCAACTATTAAGCTTTTTATTTAGGTTTTTCTAATACTTAACATTGTGTTGTGTGAGCTGATGTGATTACTGATTTTTTTTAAGACAAATACGTCCAGTTTATATATGTAATAATAACTTACTAATACAGGAAAAACACAGTTACCAAGCATAACTTATTACCTCAGGTCTTTTGAACAATACAGTGGCAGGCATTAAGTCCTTCCCAAGTTTAGGCCATTACGGGCTTCATGTCAGCACTTTTTCTGACGGAAAAGGTGCTTTTTGCCTTTTGGGGTATGTCGAGGCACTGCATTTAGATTGACTTACCTGGGTTAGGTCAATATGCATGCCTAATCATTCTGTTCAAAGGCCTTAAATTGCCCCCCAAATGGCACACCAATCTAAGTTAGTTCACCAGAGGAGGTATACTAACCTAGACTGAGAATGGGTTAACCCAATCTAAGAAAGGGTTAGATCTCACAAATGCTTGGAATGGTATTTGTGGGTGTGGGTGTGGGTGGGTGAGTGGGTGTGGGTATGGGTGTGGGTGTGATATGATGTGGTGTGGTATGATGCATGCAGTGCCTTGCACAGTGGACTTCTCATCTCACTTGGGACCTGTAGGAACAGGTAAAGTAATTGTGATGATAGTAGACTGTGGTGGGAAAGGTTGTGAAAAATGGAGTGGAAGAGTCACATTGGGCAGAGGAGGGAGAAGGGAACAGAAAGCATTCTCAAGTCTTTCATATGTGATAATTTTGGGAGAGGCTGAAGATGCTGCTAAGGAGTATGGTCAGGGTACAGAAGTGAGGAGAGCTCCTTGAAAGTTGAAGGGGAGATAACGCTGGTAGCTGCAGGTGCTCCCAGTAAGGGCACTGAATTCCTGACATAGGAGATGAAACTGGAGATCCTGAGTGCTTCTGGGATCATCTAAGCTCTCAGGGAGGTGTGGTTGAGGAGAGCCTGACTGATCATAGAGGAAGAGCTGGAGGTAGCTGAGAAGCTATTACTTTTAAAGACTTCCCTTTATCAAAGGTTCTCTCAGTAACTAACATTTTTTTCCATCTCTCTTTTAATGCCTTCTTGATTTCTCCTTCCATTGCCTTGCAGGTCTCCAGGTTAACTCTCCAGGTTAAGGCTAAAGATATTGAGGAGATTCCCACAAATGGCAGAAGAACCTCTTATGAGACTGGGCCGGGAGGGATGGATTCTGGGATTCTGCACAATTCTTCACACTTCTCACCCTTGCAGTAGTGAGTGGACTTGACATCTGCAAAGCAAGGAAGAGCAAAATTGCCTGGCAGTGAGGCAGGCATTGCTGTGCATGGAAGCACAGGAGCACTAGGGAAAGGGAGGTAAAAGGCTCCGTGGGGCAAAGTAGCATGAGGTGGGATAAGGTAGAAAGTCCAAGAACTTTGTTTCTGTAGAAGTAGGACATCTGGCCACCTATCAGTGATGATTGTGAATAAACAAGAGAATAAACACTGGTGCCGTGCTAATATCTAACTGTTCAGAAACACAAATAAAATAACATCAGTATCTGGCAAATGAAGGAGGAAAGGAAAAATATTGGGAAGATGTTTTATTTTGACTCTGTTTTGTATTGTTCATAACAAACAATAGTTGTTTTTTTTAAATAAAAACCCTAGTAACTATAAAAATCACTTGACAGCATCCTTTTAAATTTACCAGTAACAGAATGACTGCAAATGTGTATCAAACAACCTGCTTTCAAATGCAGGTAAGCTGCCATTGAAAAGAGATTTAATCCTAACTGTTTATGCCTGCTTTTGATGACAGTGCAGTTGTGTATTGTGTTGGTTAATAATGCATTCAAGCACCTGTTTAGAGAAGGTATATTCTACTACAGTCCAAAATGAAAACAACCCCATTACTTGTAGGGGTTTCATTCATAATTCTTGTATCATGCTCTGATTAGAGTATACATTGAACCTCAGACAAGCATTACCTAAGGCACATTGAGTTAAATGCACTGTATAAACTAGGCACAAACCACAAAGCTACCTTTAACTTGCACAAAACAGCAAGTAGAAATTGATTAAAATATGCATTCTACTAATATAACGGCTGGTCTCAGTATAGAAATTAATTAATGCTAATAGTACACAATCAAAACTGCTTTTAGAAATCTTCTTAGAACATTAACTAAAATGTTCATCTTTTTAATGCATTTGACTGAATCACTGAGACTAAAAGCTTTGCTTCCTCCATGCAAATGTGAAAAAAAATCACAGTCTGAATGTTCAAGCAGTGATTTTATAGCAACCTCCCCCAGCCATTTGCTTTTGGATTCCTTGTTAACCTGAGCCTGGTCCCAGTGCCATGTGTGAGGTTGTACTATTAGCTACTACAGATTGAGGTGGCAGCCCTGGGAGTCAAGGCCAATAACATATGCAGATTGAGCCACAGAGCAGAAAAGGAGATAACTAAATGAAAAAAGGGGAAAGGGTATTGCATTTAAAGAGGCAGTGCTGATATATTCTGGGTGTATAGTTCACAGTTACTCAAAACTCAAGGCATGAATGTTTCCAAATCCTCCAGCTAGATTTCTCTAACATTGTCCTCTTCATTCATCATGTTCCTGGCTTCTGGTTTTCTGCGTGTTTTGTTTTGTTGTTTACCTTTAGGCAAAGCATATTTTACAATACAAAGCATCATATAGACCCCATTGTGCATATCAAGAACCTAATCCTTCCACCCCATTGGAATCTCACAGGACATGCTAGGTACCTAATGCTTTCATTTCCCAGAGGAGTGTGGGTCTTGGGAGTATCATAAATTGAGAGCAGTCACTCAAACATTTGGCATGTCATCTGAATCTCACAATAGAAAAAGCCTTACATTTGGAGGACGTTTAATTTAATTGTTTGCAGCTTAAATATTTTTTCAAGCTTAACATGATTCACAGGTACTGATTCTCTCTCTCTTTCTCACTCTTCCCTTTAAACCTGCCATCCTCCCCTCCTTCCTGTTCCATGCAACTTACCCTCTCTCCTTTTCTTCTTTTATATATGAGAGTCCTCCTTAGGTTTTGATTTTTGTCCATCTCAACTCCTCATCCATTTCTGATCCTTATTTCTTCTTCATTCCCCAGCCACTTGACTTCTTCCAGAACTCATGTTTAAAACTGAGAATAGCTGGCCTCTCGGTCACTGAGAGATGTCCCACTGAAACCCAGAGAGACAGCAACAGCTTCAATTGAAAATGATTTTGAATGTGTTCCAGCAATCATGAGTTTTAACAGCTATTTCCCAGAAACCTAGAAGCTTTGCAGTTTTAAAATATATAGTTATTTTCAGCACTACATCAGATTTTCATTAGGACCGTTTGCAGCATTTGTAGTGATGTGCTTCTACTGACACCACTTTGTTATGATGACATCTGTATAACAATACAACTACAAACATATGTTCCTTTACCAACCAACCCCAAACCAACCAGCTGCTCCTCCACACGTTACAATTAGAAGGCAATCCTTGGAGAATGCAAGGATTCTCCTACCTGCATAGCCCCCTTTCTCAAAAACAAAAATGACAGTCTGTTCAACACTGGATAAAATCTGCCAGTGCTGTCTTTGGCTCTCCAAAATCATGTCTTTGATGATCGTGACATCAAGGCCCAAACCACACTTCTCATCTTCCAGGCTGTTGTCATTCCTATCATGTTGTATGGGTATGAAACTTGGATGACACACCAGAAACACCTGAAGGCTTTGGAACATTACCATCAGTGACATCTTTGGAAAATACCCCAAATCAGTTGGGAGGACAGAAGAGCAAATGCCAGTGTTCTGGCTCAAGCAAACACCACCAGGAAAAGTCATGTCCTAAGGATGCCTTACAACTGGCTCCCAAAACAGATCCTATACTCCCAATTCACTGGTCATCACTGCTGTAGAGGAGGGCCAAAAAAAGATTCAGGGACAATTTAAGGAAATTTGTTATTAACATCAACGCCTGGAAGACTCAAGCACTGAATCATACCCAATGGCACCATTATATACAGTAAGGCATCGATCATTTTGAGTGAAGCCTCCTCACTATGGAGGCAGATAGATGAGACAGAAAAAGGGAAAGAGATGTGACCTGACATCACCAGGATCTGCTTCTTCCTCCCCAAACTATTTGTCACATCTGCAGTTGAACATGTGGATCTTAGATCAGTCTCCTCAGTCATCTACAGACTCACTGATGACTGCCTTATTTACTGGAAAGCTATCATTCTTGTATTGAGGGACTGGTTTTGTTGCTGTAGTGTTGCAGTGCTCTGAGTATGGCATCAAACCTGGAACCACGAAAAATGAGTGCAGTATCTCTGCCACAAACTTCCCTCAAAAAAGTAACTTCTCTCTATGTCTCAGCTCTGCTACTTTTTAGAGCAGCGTTGTCCAATTTGTGTCTCAAGAGATGCACGTGGCCTGAAAGTCATTAACATGTGGCCTGTGGGCTTCCACCTGTCTGCCACTCATCCCACCTCTCCTTCTGCAGCTGCAAGATCTCTGAACTCCCCCTCCTTTCTCTGGCTTCTGATTTATGTCCCTGCCTCTGCCGTTGCCCCTGCCTCTGGGGGGAGCAGTGTACAGCTTCTAGCCACTCTAGTTGGCTAGCCCTATTTGAGAGGAGAAAAGCATGAAAGTTGTATTGGGTGGCACTTCTTTTTGTCTGCAGTTTCATAGAATAACTCCCTTCTTTACAGCTGAAGTCCCTTGCCTCTCTGGAAGTGAATGTGTCAGCTTGTGTTACTTTGGGTTGCTTTGTGCTTACCTTCAGAACCATGTTCTTGCTTTTCTCAACAAGTTTCGTCATGCCCATCTCCAAAAAACTTGGGCTCAGGCAAATTTCCTTTGGTGTTGAAGGTGTGGTATCTTCTTTAGCTCTCAGGTTTCTATTGCAAGTATATTTCTGCTCCTTTATAGCTTCTTTAGAGTCATAGCACCATGTCCTTGCTTTCTGATACAGTTAAAGTGACCTGAATCATTTGAACCATGAATTCTTCTGTCACTGCTGTCAGAGAAATTCTAAATGCTGTAACTCCATAGAGAACCACTGCAATCAGCTCTTAAGGCAAGCCCTAATGCTATTAATTTCCAGTCCCCCCACTCTTTATACATTTTAATAACCAAAAACATTAGCATATTGAGGCATTTCATCATAAACCACGTAAGAGATAACTTGGCCATTTTTTTATCTGCATTCATTTTAAGTTTCAAAGACAGTTTAACTTTGTAGAATCTGAACAGATGACTTAGACATTATTAATGGGGATATTACACAATTAAAATCAGACCCTGAATGTAATTGAACAAAATGTTCATGGATGCTGCCAAATTGAGTGACTAGGTTTAGATTATGGAAGTACAGCTGGGTGTGTATTAAGCCATCCAAATGCCTGGATGACTATAGGTACCATCAAGAGAATTGAAAAGAAGTAACTGGACCCAACTTTAGCATCTGATGAAGTAGGTTGTTGCCTATGAAAACGCATGACTTTTTGAGCTAGTGGGTACAGCTACATAATACAATTAGCACATAGCAAACCCTGGCACATTTCACACTGGAGTCAGCTGCTCTCGGGCACAACATCTGCGCTTGTGCCTAGGACTGGCAGCAGTTTGAGCCAGGGTAGAGAAGCCCCAGGCCTGCACAAGGCCCAGGGGGTCAGCTCTGAACTCCAGGTGGCAGCATTGGGTAGTAGAGGGTCTGGTGGGGACACGAGCATGTAGGGCTAGGTGGCAGGAAGCTCCTGCACAGTAGCACCCTTGTGCCCCAGTCAGCCTCAGTCACAGTCTACATGTGCATTTGAGTGCACGTAATTACTCTGCTGTAGTACTTGTCCTGGGCAGTACTATTTTATGATGGAATTAATTTACTGTGCCCTAATTCCAGTGCATGAAAGACTGTGACGCTTTACTGAGGAGCTAATTATTCAGCTGCACAGTGAAGTGCATGTGTAGATGCATCCAGTTAGTCTCTAAGAGTGGCTACCCTTCCCTGATTTTATTTAATTTTTTTCTGGCAGAACTCAGGCTTCTGGTGCCATTTCACCTAAAATTTGCAAGGGTAGAAAGTGTCACCTGCCTCTGGAGCAGATTACAGTCTGTTATTCCCTGTGCAAACCCTTAAGTGTCCTCTGATGAGCTGCTACTAACTTCATTTACCCCAAAGATTCATTTGATACAGGTATACAAGTAATAAGCAGGACACAGGTGCTCAATGCATTTATAAATAGCTGTGATATTTATTTTTATTAGATCTGGTCAAAACAGGTTGTTTCTCTTCACAGTGTTTGTAAAAAAAAGTCCTCTTTTGTGAAAACATTTTGAAATTCAATTAGTTGACCTATTGTATTGTACTGTAGTGCATCTGTTGTATTAGGTATTCTGCAAATATAGAGACCTTTCCAAAGTCTACTGAAGTCAATGGGAGCTCTTTTTTTACTTCATTGGTTTTTACTTTAGGCTAGCATTGAATGATGGTTTCTACCCAAATTGCTTACAGTCTAAATATGAGAGAGAACTGAGTTCATGAGGCAAACAAGAAAAGTAGGTTGGGGCAGGGCAAGAAATATAGTTACAAAAATAACAGGTTATTATCAATTCTTTACCTATCAGGTGGTGTAAGAGAGATGATAGGCCAGAAATTATGCTAGAGACAAGGATTTCTTAGGGTGATAACTTTTATTGGAACAACTATATAGTTGGGATAAAGTCAGAAAAGCTTCTGAATGTAAGATGTTCTTCCTAAAATCTGATCCCAAGTACATAGCCGGTCCAATAAAAGATGTTACCCATCACCCAAAGAATTCCTTGATGCTCACATAACCTATCAAGAGCAGTTCTCACAAATCATCATCTGCCTAATCCTTACCAAGATACACTTCCATGCCAGCAGAAGAGGTGAATTTTGATAAAGAGCTAAGGATATTACTACCAAGTACTCTTCAAACTTCTTTAGAAGCTCTCAAGTATTTCAATTCATTTATAATTGAAAACTTTTTGATCAGGTTTTGAAAATGTTATGAACATGTCTGACTTTCAAGAGTATAAGAAGCAGTCACAGCAAAGGGCAGTGAAACTTTATCTTCATATTTTGACAGGTGAATGAGGCACAGGCTTGGAAAGAGCTGCAGGGGAGGAGCAGGTCCCAGCCCCCTGCCCCGATCTGCTTGTGGGGCAGCTAACACTGAGCTCCCACCTAGACGGGGATTCTCTGCGCAGCCATGGGCTCGTTACTAGATGCCCCACGACAGGCTTGGGGCAGGAGGTGTCTCTGCCCCTCCCCTGCAGCTCTTTTTAAGCCCCATGCCTTGATTGCCTGATTAAGGCATGGGGCTGGGACCTGCCCCTGTCCGAGACAGTTCCCAGCCCTGACTCCACAGTTGCGGGGTGGGGACTAGAGAGCTTGTTCCCTGCTCAGCTCCATGATCACAGAGCTCAGTGGGAAACAGGCTAGAGAGCCTGTTGCCTATTCAGCTCTGCGAATGCAGAACTGAGTGGGGAACAGGCTCCCTAGCCCCTGATGGCAGGGTGCTCTCAGTGCCAGCCCTGCAAACTTGGAGCTGGTGCTATCCTTATCCTTATAAGGACCTCCCAGCATTGATCCTGCAATTGCAGAGCTGGAACTGGGATATAAGAACCCCAGCAGTCTTTCCTGCCCAGAGCAGAAGGGCTGGACCCAATGATCTCATAAAGTCCCTTCCAGCCCTAAACATCTGTGAATCTGTGAATCTCCCAGTCCACTGCTCCCTGATCATGATAGCAAAGCATGTGCTGGGAGATACGGACCTCCCAGAAGAAAGCCACAGAAGTGTATCTGGGCAGACATTTTGACCCATGATGAAAAAATGCTGTCACGAATGGCCATCATTCTGATGACCTCCCTGTCACATTTTTAATGAAAGCAATGCATTGTTTTCAGTTGTTTACCTTATTCAGTGATTGAAAAGAC